TTTGAGCGACTCTCTGTCCTACTGAACTCTCAGCTGTATCTGAAGCTGTTCAGGTGTGATCCAGCAGCACTAAAGACTCTTCCTCTTCTTCCTGTCAGGTTCGTTTCTGTGATAATGTGGAAGAGTTCTTCGCCAGTTGTGGTGAGGAGGAGGAGGACCGGCGGGGCCCCTGGGAGGAGCTGGCCCGGGACCGCTGCCGATTCCTGCGACGCTGTCAGGAGGTGGAGCAGAACATTGCCTACTGCCTGCAGCCGCAGCACCGCAGCTTGGTCTACCACCGCCTCACCACGGTCTATGTCCAGGACGCTTGAGGACAATTTGTCCTGTATGTCCAGGACGCCTGAGATCAATTTGTCCTCAATGTCCAGGAGGCCTGAGGACAACGATCTTGTCCTCTATGTCCAGGAGGCCTGAGGCCAACGATCTGTCCTCTAGGTCCAGGATGCCTGAGGACAATTTGTCCTTTACATCCTGGATGCCTGAGGACAAAGATCTGTTGTTTAGTTCCCAGGATGCCTGAGGAGGACACAGCTTCTGTTCTGAAAGTCCAGGGTGATCATGTAATTCAACATGTCTCATACTGAGGAAATGGAAAGCTGCACTTGTTTAGCATAAATATAAACAGTTTTGACACTATAGAGACACAGAGATAGCAGTTGGACGGACTAAGAGCTGCTGAACTCTTTACTGACTGACTTTAGTCTTCTTTCTGATGTGGTCCAGCCTCAGAGTCCATGTCTGTTTTGTTTCTGCAGCTTCGTCTTTTTTGATTCAGTCGACTAATTCAACAAGATTCAGGGCAACTTCATAACTGACTCATTTAGTAAAATACTGGCCTGTGAGGTGTTGTTAAGGTGTTCATGGGGATTTGAAGGGCTTAACTTGTGGCTTCACTGTGAGGAAAAACCCTGTTGGAGCTGAGAAGTCGTAACGTTGGGTTGGGACAAAAGCCTTTCTGCAGACAGGGAGAGATCTCATCTTCTCACAGATTTATTTTTCAGTATTTTCTCAAGCTGTTTCAGCTGTTCCATTTTACACTTTGCATCAGACACAGACCCAAGATGCTGTTTTAATCAGAAATATGGAGTAAAGCTGAGAAACTCAGCAGGTGGTTCCCAAGAAAAGTCACAGGGGTCAGTAAATGATTGAAGGAAGAAGAAGGAAAATGTGTTAATGTTTATCTACCACTCCAGGCCTCCAATAATCCTCCAAATGAAACAGTCAGTGGTTGTTTTTATGATTGATTAATCTGCCTTATAATTTGACATATAATTATTCAGTGTGAATAATGTTCATCCCACTTTCTCTTCAAGGTGACGTCTTCAAATGTCTTGAGTTTTGATTCGATTAACAACGATTCAAACCAGCAGATCCTCACATTTGAGATAACTCCATTTACTGAAATGATCAATGATTGTGAATCATTTTTGTTCCAGCTGAAACCCACAGTGAGGTTCGTCAGATGTTCTTGTTTTTACATCTGATGGAAACAGCAGCTTCTCTCTGTGACTCGGATGTAAAACTGACGAATAGCCGACAGTGAAACCGCAGCTCGACTCTTTCCCCGCACATGGAAGTAAAACCAGTGAACAGACCCCGTCACAGTCCAGGTGAAACCTGTAGTGTGTAATGAGGATTCACGTGTGTGAAATGACTCAGTCTAGTCTTTGTATTTGCAGCCAAAGCTTTTAGTTTGGTCCCGTTTTCTCTTTAAAGCCAAAGATCGCTGGAGTGTGAGTGTTGAAGTCTGACAGGAGGAGGAACTGAAGGCTCAGTGTTGATTTGCATGAATTTCTCTTTAATGTAGAAAATGTTCCTCTAACTGCTCAGACTCACTAATCACTGATAATCTATCAATACACAGAGTATTCTGCTTCTAATCAGTATGATATACATCACTGTGGTATTAAAACAAAACTCCCTTTAATAAGTCGTTTCTCTCACTGTTGAACTGAACATCCAGCTGATTAAAAATCAGGAAACAAACAGGAAACTGTTGCAGGACAATTACTCTGCTTATTCATTGTCTGTCCTAAATATAAAATGTTGTATATATCTGTTTAAAATAACACAGATTTCTCAAATATGTCAGTAGTTGTACCACAGCTTTAAACAAAGTGTTGTAAAACTGCGAATGATGATTTAAATCAAACTGTTCATGTTGCAGATTTCCAGCGTTCACATGTGCTGCGCATCGTCCCAAAGTCCAAAACGAGGCCTTCAGTATCCAGACTGACATATTCATCATTTAAATATTCAACCTGTTTTTAAGTAATAATTGTAGGATGTCTTATTATCCAGTTTATTTGAAAATCCAGCCACAGTGTTCCTCTGGTGTTATGTTTCCCTCCGCAGATGAAAGTGTTGAGCATAAATGAGACCACATCTTCCGGCCTCTGTAATGATCCTTGGTATTTAATTGCTTTAATGTACTTATGAGAAGCTTATTTTTCTAATGTTGTGTCTTCACACTACATTCATTGAATTCAAAATTTAACTGAACCATCGTTTAGACCATCAACAGACTGTGGAGAGAGAATTGACAGATAATTATAACGTGAAATACATTAAATGATTCGTTCTGTATAGTTTGTATTACATCACACTGTTTGAGCAGTAAGTAAAAAATATTGTTTTTCAGTGTGTGATGTCAGATGTCAGTGAAGCTGTAACTTCACGAAGAGACAGCAAATCTTTTTCCTAAAATAGAATACTTATTTTGTTTTTTCATCACCTCGCACTATTTTTAAAAAAAAAATAGTTTCAGCATCTTCATCATGTCCTGGAAGAATATTACCCATAAACAGCACACAGTCACAAATCCCACCATGTCAATTTAGTGAACACCCCACAGACAAAAAACCTGCTGAGAATCTGTGTCAGTCTGGATGTAAATGATTGTTTTCATTTTCGTTTTCTCGTATCGTCACAAGTGTGGGATGTTAAGTTCAACAGACAGAAAGTTAACGAACCTCTAACCAGACTGAGTCAGTCTGAACAGTCAGAACAGTAGGGGGGGGGTTTCCCTTCGAAGACTCTGACTCAGTCAAATGTTTCCAGGCTGAGCTAATTCCTATAAAGTATCTGCATGAGCCTCTGCTCCTACAGCACCTCCTCACTTTATATCACTCACATGAAGAGAGAAACGCTGAGGAAACTCGTGTGTGAACAGGTAATTGATGTTAAAAAGATGAATCACTACACTGTGTTGAATTAACTGGAGCGGATGGGCAATGTTTTTGGGACTAAATAAAAAACCCAGAGGGGAACTTATCATATTAATTAAAATGACAGAAAGTCTGAAAACAGAAAAACAGGGAGGTGGAACTTAAGAAAAAAAAAAGAATCGACAGATGAATCTTTGGTGTTTTTTTAGTCAAAAAAAAAAAGCTTTTTATTTTTCTAATGCTTGATTTGGTGGGTAACCCATTCTGCTTCATCTCCTCACAGTCTAAATATGATTTTAAATATTAAAATAAAATCAATATTTAATGAAAACACTGGGTTATGTTGCTTTTTTCCTCTACGTTCTATAAACCTGTTTTTATCACATGAATGTTTTTAGGTGTTGAAGATCAAGGCCTTGAAAAGTCTGAAAATGTTTGAAATCACTACAAAACAAAAGCTTTTAAATTCTTTTTGAATTTAAAAGAAATTCAGTAGATTTCATCAGGCTTTATTCTTTTTGTTTTAACTGACTCACATTTATCAGTCTGCAGTTTCTCCAGCAGGGGGCGCTGTTCTCTGTCAGACCTGAAGCCAAGCATCGCCCCCCTCAGGAGAGGAAGCTTACTGCAGCAGCACACGCATCGCCCTCACCCCTGCAGGTAAAGAAAATAACTTCTTCAGGTTTAACACACGACACCAGCTGGAGGCAGTGAGTGGTACTGCTACAGTGGGACGATAAGAGACTGACTCTCTTTCAGGTGCTTTTTTTCTTCACTTTTTGTTTTAGTTGTTTTCTTTTTTGTTTTTATTTATGCAGAATTTAAATTTAACAGGTTGTCAGATTTGTAAAGTGGAAGAAACAACGTCAGAACAAATGGTTCATTCATGTAAAGGGTCCATTTCCTCTTCAAAAATATTTTCTGAGAATCAAATTGAAGGTCAGTTTTTATTTTGTAGTTTTTTTTTTTAGTGGCTCTCCAGAAATCATGAGTGATTTGTCTCCTCCACAAAAAGTTTGAGCTGTTTTTTCTGTTTTGTCTCTTTCCACACAGCTGTACAGGTGATCTCACCTGATCTGAACTTAAAGTAAAACTCTTCCTGTAATCTTGTGACTCATGGAGCGGAGTCCCACCAGCCCCCCCAAACTCCATCTTAATCAGTTGTATTTCTGATGGCCCCCAGGTGGCTTCATAAACTCTCTGATAGAAAACCACGGAGCCAAGAGGTGTCATGGAGAAAGATGTAAACTCGCTGATCAGTCAAATCAGTAATTGGTGCTTTCAAGCTCTCGTCCTAATGTCATCACTCTTGTCATGTTCTCTTCACACTCACTGTGAATCTCTCGGATTCAATAGGGTTTAATTTGGACTGAGATCTGTGGATCCACCTCAGGTTTTGACTGTTTAACACAATCTTGTGTTTTCTTTGAGGTCCCTTTATGTCACACGATAACTGAAACTGTTTGCCTCTAAAACCTTTTGATAATGTGAAATCACCCAGTTCATAAGAAGTGCTTCATAAAAGTCTCCAGCCTCCAAGAGGAGAGAAGGCAAAATATAAAATATCATTAGTTCCACAACACAAATGAGTAATTCACCCTCTTGAATTAATATTACATTACACATTTGGCATAAATAATTAATTACAGAACATGAATGATTTAATTGTGAGTCTGAAATAGTTTTTTTCCTCCATGACACCTCCCAGACTGGATAGAAACCATCACCAGTCGATGAAAATCAATAGTTTTTGCACCAGTCAAGTGTTTCTGACGTCGTAACTTTGTTTTTTTAATCAAATGTCTGGATCCACAGGAGTGGCCAGTGGTTCTGAGCTGAATCATCGTCACTTCCTCCTCAGTTCAGGTCAGACACGTGAACTCCTGAGTGTCCCCTGAAGCGGACTGTGGTCCTGTCAGCTGTTACCACATGATGCCCTAACCCTAACCCAGAGTGTGTGTTTAACATGTGAGCCCCTCAGACTCTCCTGCACAGTCCGGTCCGGGAGACGAGGTGTTGGGGGACTCTCCCCCGCTGTGCCTCCCGTCCTCCAGCTCCACCAGTCCCTGCAGGTATTTGATGTACCTGATGGCGGCTCTCAGCGTCTCCACCTTGCTGAGCCGTTTGTCGGCGCTGTGACCCGGCAGGTGGTCCCTCAGTTTGGCGTAGCCCTGGTTCACACACTTGACCCTCTGACGCTCCCTCTCGTTCCGTTTCTGGATGAACGCCGGCTCGAAGGGACACTCGTAGACGCTGAAGTGTCCGTGGTGGTGGAAGGGGGTCAGGTAGGGCAGGAGCCCGGGGCCGGGGCCCCTCAGAGGGCCTTTGTAGAGGCTGAAGCCGGCGGGGTCCATGCTGGAGGGGTAGAGGAAGAAGGGCACGGAGCCGGACAGAGAGTCTGAGGGCTGAGAGACACCACGGTCCTCACGGAGTCCAGCAGCAGGAGACAGACTGAAGCTCAGGTAAGACGAACGCTGATCGATGATTGGAGGAGAGAAGGAGGAGCTCATCATGTGATCTTGACTGACTGAGACCTGATCAGGAGTCCTGGCTCAATCTGTAGCAGTGGTCTAAAAACACCAGAGACCACGGTGACGGTTCATCATCAGTCCTGTTCACCTGTGGCGGGAAAACAGAGAGAGACACGACCTGAGACAGAGTCTGTTTGTCCAAAGCCGGTTTAACCTCCTGAGGGGCCCCGGTGACCCCCCCCCCCCCCCCCGCTCAGTTTCATTGTTTCCCCCATAGTTGAAATGATTAATTGATCAACCGATCATTAAAGATTATATATTATAATCTTTTATTACCTTTTATAATCTATTATATATATTACATGGAAAAAAATAAAATATGGTCTTAAAACCAGATTCCAACTGATTCTGGATCAGTGTTAGATGAATTCAGTAACCATGGCAACACCTTTTCAACACCTCTGACTGGAAATGAATATAAACTGTTCAAGATAAAGTGGCCATAAAGGAAACTGAAATTCATATTCACATGACAAACTGATGTTTTGTAAATTGCACAAAAGTGGAGCTGCAACGATGAATCAATTAATGAATGAGTCATTCAATAGAAAAAATTAATCAGCAGCAGCTTTGATCATCTAATAATCGTTTCAGTTGTTTTTAAGCATTAGAGCCACAAACATTTGTGAGTTGAATTTTTCTAAAATGTGAGAATTTGATGCTTTTTTTCGTCGTACATGAGATTAAACTGAACATCTTTTAGTTTTTGGACAAAAACAAGATGTCATGTTGAGAACGACATTTTTTACTATTTTCTGAGATCTTATGGAAATAATGATCAATTAATTGAGAGAATGGGCAGATTAATCGACAATGAAATAATTGTGAGTTTCAGGAGAAGAAAAGGTGAAAATTAAAACCCTGAACTGGAAAAACTGAAATGTAAATGCTCAAATTAAAAGGTCTAAAGGTTTAAAAGGAAAATAAAATCATACAATATAAAAGAAAACTAGAGAAAACTTCACAGACTGAAAATGTTTTTCTTCCAAATTCCAAACGGATGAAAATACAACCTCAGATGTGAATAATTAAGTTTACTTTTCTAATTTCCTTTCAAACATTTCAGTGAACAGTGTCTGTTTTCTGGGCTTCGACTTAATCAAAAAATTAATTAATAATAATAATAATAATGATAATGATATCAATCAGTGTTCGCACAGCTGCACAATCATGAGTCAGTGGTAAAAAGAACCTAAAGCAACAAGCTTGTTACAGCTGTTCTCACAAGACAATAATTACATAATGTATGTACATGAACTCCACAGAACCTCTGTATGAACCTCTGTATATCCACATACATCATATATCTCCGTAACGTGAGCGTTTGTCTTTGTCTCACCTTCAGATGCAGCTGCAGTGTTTCCTCCTGGGACTTTGACTCTGACTGAAGCTGCAGATGAAAAGCTGAGGATTTACCTGCTTTTACCTGCTGAGGCTCCGCCCCTCCAGGTGTGTGATGGGACAGCAGGTAACGAGAGAAACCAACACACTGCATCCAGTGCGATGAATATAAAGCATCGGTTTATTAAATGATGCAACATAGGAACAAAAAACACAGTTGATTTTTTAAAATTTTACAAACTATAAAAATATATCACTGTAACAACAATATTAATAAAAAAATAAATAATAATGATAATAATAATTTTCGGTGTTTGATCAGATCAAATTTGGTGTTCGTGTATTTCAGTCGAGCTGTGAAACATCAAAGATCCTGCACGGGTAGAAATGAGTGTTTGCAGTTTCCTCTTCCTAAATCCTGTATTTCCAGATGAAAGAAGTCGGCGACACACACCCTTCCTGTCAGCCTCTCATCACACAACACGCACTGATGACTGTTTACACACACACACACACACACACACACACCTGTAACCTGAGCTGCTGTCTGAGGCTTACCTGAACACTTTAACGCGCGTCTGACAATTTTTACTCTGTTTGATTTGTTCCAAACTGTAAATGTGGTGATCTCAACTGCAAACACATTTACTGAGCTTTAATCGGGCTTTCAGGTGTTTGTGTCTCTGGTGAACTGAAAGGTGAGTTGTTTTGTTCTTTTACAGTGTGACTGGGGAAGACTTGAGACTTGCTCTTCTTCACAATGACCCTGTAAAACATGTCACACACACTCAGCACAAATATTCAGGCGATGTGTCACTCTGTCTTCACATGTTCAGTCTGTTTTTGGTGTTGAACTTTGAAAGGTGAAGTCAGAGTGAAGTCGTCAGTCAGCAGCAGCAGCAGCAGTCTGAAAACAAACCTCCATCTGACACACACACACACACACACACACACACACACACACACACACACACACACACACACACCAGACTCCAATGAGAGAAACAAGTATTTAAGCTCAGTCTTGTAGGTGCAGGTTGAGCCCGTGGCAAGATCTTAAAATGACCGACCCTGTGTGTGTGTGTGTGTGTGTGTGTGTGTGGCTCTGACTGTGGGGGGGGTGGGAGGTATGGAGTGACCTATTCATGTTGAGTATGACCAGGAGGAAAAACCAGTTCACACATCCATTTAGACACGTGATTGTTAATTTAATAAATACTGATAGTAATAGAATTACTCTTCAGGTCCAGTCTGACGTCCAGCTGAACGCCGACGTTTCCTCCTCTAATCTCTGCGTCTGTGTGTGTTCCTGCAGGCGGAAGCTGCTGCTCTCACACACACACACACACACAGACAGACACACAGACACACACACACACACACAAACACACACCTGTTGTTGTAGTTTCATCAGTGTGTGTATGTGTGTGTGTGTGTGTGTGTGTGTGTGTGTGTGTGTGTGCTTTAATAAGGGCATGCACATGCAGGAGTGAGTTGTTCACTCCATTGTTTTACTGTAACATCAAAGATGAGCTGCTGCTGTGATGAAGCTCGACACTAAAAACTCAACATGCAGAGACTTGACGACAGAATCCATCAGACCTGCTCCTGTTGTTACCAAACTTTATTAAATAGTTTCATTTTACAAGATTTTACAGAATAATACAAATAATTCAACTCTGTCACTTCTTTCAGTTGAACTGAATATTTTATATGATCTCGCCGGCTGCATTTGTTTGTATCGGACTCTTCTCCATCTAAACACTTTAAAAAACCTTCCTTTAAATAAACTTTATTATTCTCAAATTCACTGAAACGTTCCGACAGAAGATTGTGATAATATGTGCAAACATTAGATACTGTAAAAACATAAACACTCCTCTAATATCTAACATGACTCTTCAGTTTTACTCCCATTTGACTTGGAACCTTAAACTCTCCACATCTAGTCCAATAAAATAAGAATAAAAATCACAGCCTGGTGGGAAATATGCTGTCATTCTCATTAATGCCAGGAGACGGCGCTGTCTGCTTTAGGGCCGCTGTGAGAGAAGGTGATCCTGGGGACCAGTTTAGAAGGAGACTGTGAGAAAATGGCAGAAAAATTTGTCACTGGGTTTATTCACATCATTACCTTTTTCCAGGAAAAGTTTGAAGTAAAAAGTTTTGTACATAATCAATCAGGAAACAGATACTGAGTCCGGTGACTTTAACAGGACTGAAACTCTGAAACTGACCCCAGTCCAGCCTCTGATTATACTGATCACAAATAACAACAAAATAATAAAGCTTTGATTGATCAACATGTTGCAGCCCTGACAGCTGTTGATCAGTTTGAACATCTGTTCACGTCTTATTCTCTAATGGCTCCAAAAGTTCACATGACTCTATGATCATGTAACTCCTGCAGCGTGGACGACTGTCCGAGGGCCTCTGAGGTCAACCAGGGTCCACTGTGGTCCTGTAGGGGCCTCCAGGAGCCTCCAGGGGCCACTGTTGCCCGGTCCCTGGTCTGTACCAAATCTGAGCTGGACTGTGAAGCTTAGCAGAGAGAAGTCGGTCTCTCTCAGCTTCTGCTCAGCTGCTTCAGTCTCCTCTGGGACAGGGGTCTTCACCTCCTCCTGGGACAGGAAGTGCTCCACCTGTTGGACACAGCTGTAGCAGACTGTCCTTTTCTGTCCCTCTGCAGCTCAGAGTCTGGCTGCTGTTTGAGGGACTGTGGATCAGGAGGAACCAGAACTCTTACTCAAGTACTTAAGGACAATTCTGAGGTACTTGTACTTCACTTGAGTCTTGTCTTGTCAGGACACTCGTTACTTCTGTACTACATTTATCTGACAGCTGCAGATAAGAACATACAACTACAGTATGTACAAGTTCAGCTGAAATGATTAACTGATTAATCAATGAGCTAATTGACAGAAGACGAATCTGCACCTGGTTTGATAATGATTGAAGTAATTTTGATCATGTTGTTCCACTCATTAAAAAAGGGAGGATAAATATTAATGTTAGTAAATATTTCCCAAACCAGATCAATGTTTGGATTGATTAGCTGAGCTCAGCTGTTACTTACACTCCAGTTCTTTGAAAAGGACCTGGTGTCTTAATTTGGTTTACTCAATCACTGAAATTTAAATTTAATATCAACTGATGTTACTTTTGTCCAATGAAGACGTTTTCAAATCTGTGACATTTAAAACTTTTAAATCAAACTATAAATATTTCAGATTCATCACCAACCCCATTGTCGAGTATCATCATAGTCAAGTATCCCAGTCTGTCGCTCTTAATGATGATGAACAACATTTTACAGAAAACACACAAACCTGGCAACGCAGAGCTGCTACATAGATCTTAACAATAGAAAACAGATGGGAGATAAAATGGCAACATCATTAGAGATGTTTAAATATATCAACATGTCCTTACCGTCCACACTCACGCCTACGCCCATGCCGTGCCCTTTTCACACCATCTATACTGCTGCATGTTCTTCCCAAACAAATCAACCTTAGTTCCATCAGTTCATCAGTTCATCAGTTCATCAGTTCATCAGTTCATCAGTTCATCAGTTCATCAGCTGAGGGTTCACAAACCTTCTCTTGCTACTGTAGATTTAAAGTTTGTTTAATGAGTTTTTTTGTTTACACTCGTCTGTTTGGTCTGTTTGTCTCCATCTGTCTGTGGGTGTGTTTGTGTGTGTGTGTGTGTGTGTGTGTGTGTGGTGTGTGTGTGGTGTGTTGTGTGTGTGTGTGTGTGTTGTGGTGTGTGTGTGTGTGTAGTGTGTGTGTGTTGTGAGTGTATGTTGGGGGGGGGTCCAGTTTCCCACTTTCCCTCCTCTGAGCTCCCAGAGTTCCCAGCACGAGACTGAGCGTGCCCCAGTCACACGACCCCCCCACCCCCACCCCTCTCTCTGTGGAGTCAGAGCGACACACGGCTTCCCACACTTCTTCATCCCTCACACACAATAGACGTGTGTGTGTTCACACAAAGCGTCCGGGCGGTTCTCAGGCTCCACAGTTTACTGCTCCATCTGCACAGACAACAGTCAACCACATCTGCTTCATTCGTTTCACTGTGTTGCATCAGTAACAGGTAAAACTTTAGTTCACAGATGCTGAAATATTTTTTTTTAAATTTCCAAAATAAACAAAAATAGTGTAATTTTAAATCAAGGCTGCAACAAATATTTTTATTATTAAATATTCTTTTGATTATTTATTTAATTCAAGCGTCACTGACAGATTGAATCAGACAATCAGATTAAATTAAAAACTATAATAAAAAAAGAAGTAAATGATAAATAAATAAATTAACACTAAATAACAATAATGAATATAAAGTTTTATTTCATTTTAATTTTGTTCAAACTGTTCAAAACAGATTTTCAGTTAAGTGTCAAAGATTTACAAAAAACCCAAAAAACTTCGGTATATTCAGATGTGAGAAGTTTATTTTTCAGCTTGTTTACTAAATGTTTTTTCGATTAATCCTTTCAGCTCTTGAAAACACTGTCAGACTAATATGAGTTCAGTGAGTTTCTGAGTCGAGTTTAAACGTGTTAAACCAAAGAAAAGATTCTGGAAACTTCATTATCCATAAGTAATTGAATTATGGATTTTCTTTTTCAATTCAGTTAAATTTTATTTGTATTTCCCCAAATGATGACATGTACTATCTAACAGCTGTTTACAGAGTCCGGTCAACACCTCACAGTGTTACAGAGAGAAACTCAACAGCTCCACCATGAGCAGAACCTGGTGACAGTTGATGTTGTCCCTGTAAATAAAGTGTTGCTGTCTTTCCCTTCACTCTGTCTTTAAACACACGGCCACAGTCGAGGCTTATATTGTTTTTGTCAGCCGACATGTTCTGAGCTTTAATATCTTGGTTGAGAACTCAGACGGCGAGCGGTCCTCACGCCTCTGACACGTTCCCAGGGAACAGTCTCTGAATCTCCTTGACATTTGGCCTGATGAACAACGTCCCACCTGTTCTGCGTGGCAGACATTTAATTCAGCCTATTGTCCTGAGCTCCGAGCTCCTGATTGGTCCGACAGCCGAGAGAGAGAGAGAGAGAGCGAGCGAGCGAGCAGGCCGAGCTGCATAAATACAGAGAGGAGACAGAGACATGAAGAGAGACGTCCTCTGAACTGACAGCGAGGAGACAGGAAGCTCAGCTACTCTTCTGACTTTACTACACATCTGGAAATGTCTCAGTACCTGGACCTCACGCTTCAGGACAGCATGAAGGAACACCTGTGCAGGTGAGACAGAGCTTCACTGTTTGGTTGCACTTTGCTCTCAGGCCTCCTATTTATTCTGTACAAATATATAATAGCCAGTTTATTACACATTGTAATGGAGTTTATGAACAGATCTAAGGACATGTTTATTAATGTTCAGTATTATATAACTTCTCCTGTGAAGATGAAGCAGGTAACTGATTTGTAAAACTAAATATTTTTCTGTGTCGGTGATGAACAGACAGAAAACCTCAGTAAGGTCATTATCAATACATCTCAAAGGTATTTTCTTTAATAATCAATCGATTATTCAGTGAATAAAATGTCAGAAAATAGCGAAAATGTCTCATTTTCCCCTGGAGCCTCAGCGAACATGTTCTAATGTGTAGTTTAGTCGGACTTTACTGTCTTTACCTAACCCTAACCCAGCAAATCTTCACATTGAAGAAACTGGAACAAATACATTTTGGTTAAAAAATTATTTTCACCATTAATCAAAGCTGTTTTCAATCAGTTTTCTAATTCTTTAATCAACCGTTTCAACTCTAGAGGACTGGTCGGTTTCTAGGGGAATTGGGGGTGGGGGTCAACAGGGGCCCCTCAGGAGGTTAATGTGGAGTTATAATGAATATATCAATAATCACTTAAAACTACACAGTTATTCCATGTTTATATTCTGATTATTGTAGATGATACTGATAAAGAGGCGACATAGCTGTACTGTTGATTCCGTATGAGTTTATTCTGTAACGGTGTATATTAATGCTGCCTTCGTGTGTCTCAGGTGTAAGCTCCACCTGCTGGAGAGGAGGTGCAGCAGTCAGGTGGAGAAGCTGAAGGCTCTGATTGGAGAACACCTGCAGAGCGGGACACCTGTGTCAGACCTCCTGGAGAAAACCGTGTCCTTCCTCACGCTCAGAAAAACTCTGCTGTCGCACAGCGGCTACTCCAAATATTCAAGGGACATTTTACGTCTGTTTCCTGACGCAGAAGAAGACGTGGCTCCACTCTGCGTTTAACAAAGAAGAAGAAGAAGAGACTCAGGCGTTTGTGGAACTGCCTTTAAAATCTTGTAGTTTCTTTTGATTGCACCAGATTTTTTTTTTTACTTGATGATGATTCATGTCTTTTTTCTCTTTTTAATATCTGTGGATGAATTAGAAGTGTAATATGTATTAAGCAGTTGTTATGCTTATGTAATGAGCAGTTGTGCTGCTGTAGAATGTGTTTAAAAACATGGAGGACAGGCCTTTTATATACTGCTTAGACATGGACACACCAGACCTGCTGCAAGTTTTATCTGCAGACACTTCTCAAGTGGATGTTAGTGGATCAGATTGAAACTGAGGTCTGGTATATAAATGATCCGTGGTGAGCGGAAAAGGCCTGGACTCCACAGCTGGATGACAGATGAGTGCTGGATGCTCCCAGTAGTCACTGAATTATGAAGCTAACACTGATTCAGTTGAATCAATGTACGAATTTAAAATTGTTAACCCCTTTAGCTAAAAGGGAGATGATGATTTTATTTATCTAAGCATATTGTTTAATTAGATTATTTTTAGTTTATTGATTGGTTATGGTGCCACATGTGTACCAGTTTGATACACGTTTCTGTTCATGTTGAAATAAATCCTTTTTAAACGTCACTCTGTTTGTGTTGAGATTGGTTTGTGGAAGCAGGAGAAAGGTCTGGTTTTTACCTGCAGACACAGAATTAGAGCTGCAGCTAAAAGACACAAAGCAAAGAAGAAATCACATTACCAGCATGAGACCTGCTGAACTGGGTTTTTTAAAATTTTATTAGTGTTGAAACGAGAGACGTGAATTCAGTTTCTGTCATTTAAACTTGTGTAAAGGTTTTAATGGTTTTATTCTTGGCACAAACAACCTCGTATCTTTCAGTGATATTTTATAGGTGAACCACAGCTGTAAAGTGCTTCCAGCCTCGGTCCACACTGACCATTGCTCTCCGTGAATTCTCTGTACAATTAAATGTGTTTGATGACAGAACAGATCTATTCTGAGAAAATATAGTATTCGGTTTTCTATGATCATATAGAGTATGTATTAATTTCTTCAGTAATTGTAATGTAGCTGCACTGTAGATCATGCAGCTTGGACTGCAATGGCTGAAACACTGATCTGTGAGACCTTACATAGACAGGTGTGTGCCTTTCCAAATCATGTCTAAGCAAATGACTTTAACACAGGTGAACTCTTAACAAGGTGCAGTCAAGACAAGACAAGTTCTGAGGACAAGAAAACTTCGTCTACTGGACAGAAAGGTGAAGCTGAACCTTACATGTGACTGCAGAGGAGCTGCAGGAAGCTTCAGCTGACACAGGGGTGGTGCCGCACCATGCCACTGTGCAGCGTTGACACACGGACAGGGTCTCCATGGAAGATTCACCAGAATAAACCTAACCTTTGACCTTATCACAAAAGTGAAGGTCTGAAGTCTGGAGAGCAACATCTGGAAAAGCCAGAGGTGTTTTGCAAACAAGTTAAAACTGAGATCTTTGGTCACAATCACCAAAGCGACACTATCAGTCCACATTTCCTGCAAGGAATCAAAAGTCTGAAATGAAACACACCCCTGTTTTACTGCTGGAGCAATAACATTTATCAGAGGAGATCTGGCGAAGCTCCACCCCTCACCTGACTCACCTGAGACAAACAAGGAAACAGTTTGTTCTTCTTCACTCAAGAGACACAGACTGAAAAACAGACGATCAGATTCACCTTCAGACCAAACCAACAACTTCCTCTGAGTGAGTCCAGCTACAGGAGAGAGACGTGGGAAACTACAACACTGCTGCTTCAACCTGCTGAAACTCCACACTGAAGGTGAGTTTGACAAAAACCACGACTCAAAGTGAAAGTAAATCTCAGTGAAGTTAGTAGAGGACTGACTGTACTTTCTGTCTGCTGTGTTTCAGTTTTCCTCACAGACTAAATGGCTTCCAGGTCAGAGGAGGATTTCTGCTGTCCTGTCTGTCATGAGGTCTTTAGAGATCCTGTTGTTCTGTCATGTAGCCACAGCTTCTGTAAAGACTGTCTGCAGAGCTGGTGGAGAGAGAGACCAACACGTGAGTGTCCAGTTTGTAAGAGAAGATCTTCAAAGGAAGAACCACCTGTTAGTCTGACATTAAAGAACCTGTGTGAGGCCTTCAAACAGGAGAGAGATCAGAGATCTTCAGAGTCTCTCTGCAGTCTGCACTCTGAGAGACTCAAACTCTTCTGTCTGGACCATCAGCAGCCAGTTTGTGTCGTCTGCAGAGATTCAGAAAAACACACCAACCACAGATTCAGACCCATCGATGAAGCTGCTCGACAACACAAGAAGGAACTTCAGGAAACTCTGGAGCCCTTAAAGAAGAAGTTAAAGGGTTGTGAACAAGTTAAAGAGGAGTTTGATCAAACAGCAGAACACATTAAGGTCCAGGCCCAACACACAGAGAGGCAGATTAAGGAGCAGTTTAAGAAGCTTCACCAGTTTCTAGAGGAGGAAGAGGAGGCCAGGATCACTGCTCTGAGGGAGGAAGAGGAGCAGAAGAGTCAGATGATGAAGGAGAAGATGGAGGCTCTGAGCAGAGAGATAGCAGCTCTGTCACACACAGTCAGAGCCACAGAGGACGAGCTGAGAGCTGAAGACGTCTCATTCCTGAAGAACTACAAGGTTACAGTGGAAAGAGTCCAGCAGCGCCCCCTGCTGGATGATCCACAGCTGGACTCAGGAGCTCTGATAGACCAGGCCAAACATCTGGGCAACCTGACCTTCAACATCTGGAACAAGATGAAGGACATGGTCTCCTACACTCCTGTGGTTCTGGATCCAAACACTGCTCATCCAGAATTCATCCTGTCTGAGGATCTGACCAGTGTGAGACCAGTACAGAGACAGAAGCTTCCTGACAATCCAGAGAGGTTTGATAACTACCTCATTGTCCTGAGCTCTGAGGGTTTTAACTCAGGGACTCACAGCTGGGATGTTGAGGTTGGAGACAATACATACTGGGAACTGGGTGTGTTAGCAGAGTCTGTCCAGAGGAAGAGGAAGATACAGTCTGGATTCTGGAGAATAAGGTTTTGTGGAGGTAAATACTCAGCACTTTCACCACCAGCTCCATCCACTGATCTGTCAGTGAAGAAGAAGCTCCAGAGGATCAGAGTGAATCTGGACTGGAACAGAGGAAGATTGTCGTTCTCTGATCCTGATACTAACACACACATACACACCTTCACACACACTTTCACTGAGAAGCTGTTTCCATTCATTAGAACTGTTGATGAACTGAAGATCTCACCACTGAAGATCTCTGTGACAGTGGAACAGAGCAGTTGGAGATAAAGAGGATGATCATATTTATAATGTTGTTTATGTCTTAAAGGGAAAAGTCAGTGAATTTAAGGTGTGAAGCTGCACCTGTCCTCCTGCTGCCTCATTACTCCAAAGCTCTGTTTATGTTTCTTTTAGCTCTCACTGTTTCTTATTTTCTTTTTATTGTTGTTTTATTTTAACAAGTTGCTTTTTATATCTATTCACAACCTTTTAATCTGTAAATTTATTTCACAGTCATTTTTTCCACTTCACAAAACCTGATCTTTATTTACATTGCTATATTCTCACTCTATTAGAATTGAACTGAATTAATTAATTATCTTTTTGTGTTAACATGGTCCAATCAGATGGGATCACATGACACAGACTAATACAACATATAAATAACAACAAACCACAGGTTGTAGCTTTAGAGCAGTTGTTTCTAAACTGAAGACAAAATGAAATCATGTTTTACAAAGAAAAACAATTTAGAAGTTACTGGATTAAACCAAGTTTTAGTTTATTCCAGATCTCAATCACCCATTTTGTCTTTAAATGAGGAAAAACTGAATCTTTAATCAAACCAGAATTGAATGGTTTCCAGTATGAAATGACTCCCAGCAGCTGGGTGACCAGTGGGAATAATAAAGGGCTCCTGGGCCTGTTCAGTAATCCACCCAAACTGAACCATGTTACTGATTTTAATTGAACTGACTTAAATGATAAACTGCAGAATTTAGAGTGAAAATAGTGCAACCATTACCTGTGTGTTATAAGATTTACAAATGTCAATAAAGTTTTGTCAAGTGAAAGAAATGTACACTTCATTTGTGCATTTGTCTCAACAAACCACAGACTGTATCTGTCTCTGTCTTTATGTACAGTTTGATTAAAGGAGGCAGCAAAGTCTCACAAACCTTAAGCTCTGAAAGAAAAGCAACATTTTGTCAATTAATAAATTTGGTTAAAAGAAAGAAAAAAAAGATTAAATAAAAACCAGAAGAATCTGTTTCGTCAGCATGAAAATCTTGTAGCTGTTCACCTTTGAGGTCAGTCTCTAAAACTGAGATCTTTAGTCACAATCACCAAAGCGACACTATCAGTTTACATTTCCTGCAATGAATCAATAGTTTAGAATGAAACAAACCCCTGTATAACTGCTGGACCAACAACATTTATCAGAGGAAGTCTGACTAAGCTCCACCCCTCACTTGACTCGCATGATAAAAACCAGGAAACAGTTTCTTCTTCATCACTAAAGAGACACAGACTGAAAAACAGACGATCAGATTCACCTTCAGACCAAACCAACAACTTCCTCTGAGTGAGTCCAGCTACAGGAGAGAGACGTGGGAAACTACAACACTGCTGCTTCAACCTGCTGAAACTCCACACTGAAGGTGAGTTTGACAAAAACCACAACTCAAAGTGAAAGTACATCTCAGTGAAGTTAGTAGAGGACTGACTGTACTTTCTGTCTGCTGTGTTTCAGCTTCACTCACAGACTAAATGGCTTCCAGGTCAGAGGAGGATTTCTGCTGTCCTGTCTGTCATGAGGTCTTTAGAGATCCTGTTGTTCTGTCATGTAGCCACAGCTTCTGTAAAGACTGTCTGCAGAGCTGGTGGAGAGAGAGACCAACACGTGAGTGTCCAGTTTGTAAGAGAAGATCTTCAAGGAAAGAACCACCTGTTAGTCTGACATTAAAGAACCTGTGTGAGGCCTTCAAACAGGAGAGAGATCAGAGATCTTCAGAGTCTCTCTGCAGTCTGCACTCTGAGAGACTCAAACTCTTCTGTCTGGACCATCAGCAGCCAGTTTGTGTCGTCTGCAGAGATTCAGAAAAACACACCAACCACAGATTCAGACCCATCGATGAAGCTGCTCGACAACACAAGAAGGAACTTCAGGAAACTCTGGAGCCCTTAAAGAAGAAGTTAAAGGGTTGTGAACAAGTTAAAGAGGAGTTTGATCAAACAGCAGAACACATTAAGGTCCAGGCCCAACACACAGAGAGGCAGATTAAGGAGCAGTTTAAGAAGCTTCACCAGTTTCTAGAGGAGGAAGAGGAGGCCAGGATCACTGCTCTGAGGGAGGAAGAGGAGCAGAAGAGTCAGATGATGAAGGAGAAGATGGAGGCTCTGAGCAGAGAGATAGCAGCTCTGTCACACACAGTCAGAGCCACAGAGGACGAGCTGAGAGCTGAAGACGTCTCATTCCTGAAGAACTACAAGGTTACAGTGGAAAGAGTCCAGCAGCGCCCCCTGCTGGATGATCCACAGCTGGACTCAGGAGCTCTGATAGACCAGGCCAAACATCTGGGCAACCTGACCTTCAACATCTGGAACAAGATGAAGGACATGGTCTCCTACAGTCCTGTGGTTCTGGATCCAAACACTGCTCATCCAGAATTCATCCTGTCTGAGGATCTGACCAGTGTGAGACGAGGACAGAGACAGAAGCTTCCTGACAATCCAGAGAGGTTTGATAACTACCTCATTGTCCTGAGCTCTGAGGGTTTTAACTCAGGGACTCACAGCTGGGACGTTGATGTTGGAGACAATACATTCTGGTCACTGGGTGTGTTTGCAGAGTCTGTCCAGAGGAAGGGAATCATACTGTCTGGATTCTGGAGAATATGTTTCCATGAAGGTAAATACTCATCATGGTCACCACCAGCTCCATCCACTGATCTGTCAGTGAAGAAGAAGCTCCAGAGGATCAGAGTGAATCTGGACTGGAACAGAGGAAGATTGTCGTTCTCTGATCCTGATACTAACACACACATACACACCTTCACACACACTTTCACTGAGAAGCTGTTTCCATACATTAGAACTGTTGATGAACTGAAGATCTCACCACTGAAGATCTCTGTGACAGTGGAACAGAGCAGTTGGAGATAAAGAGGATGATCATATTTATAATGTTGTTTATGTCTTAAAGGGAAAAGTCAGTGAATTTAAGGTGTGAAGCTGCACCTGTCCTCCTGCTGCCTCATTACTCCAAAGCTCTGTTTATGTTTCTTTTAGCTCTCACTGTTTCTTATTTTCTTTTTATTGTTGTTTTATTTTAACAAGTTGCTTTTTATATCTATTCACAACCTTTTAATCTGTAAATTTATTTCACAGTCATTTTTTCCACTTCACAAAACCTGATCTTTATTTACATTGCTATATTCTCACTCTATTAGAATTGAACTGAATTAATTAATTATCTTTTTGTGTTAACATGGTCCAATCAGATGGGATCACATGACACAGACTAATACAACATATAAATAACAACAAACCACAGGTTGTAGCTTTAGAGCAGTTGTTTCTAAAGTGAAGACAAAATGAAATCATGTTTTACACAGAAAAACAATTTAAAAGTTACTGGATTAAACCAAGTTTTAGTTTATTCCAGATCTCAATCACCCATTTTGTCTTTAAATGAGGAAAAACTGAATCTTTAATCAAACCAGAATTGAATGGTTTCCAGTATGAAATGACTCCCAGCAGCTGGGTGACCAGTGGGAATAATAAAGGGCTCCTGGGCCTGTTCAGTAATCCACCCAAACTGAACCATGTTACTGATTTTAATTGAACTGACTTAAATGATAAACTGCAGAATTTAGAGTGAAAATAGTGCAACCATTACCTGTGTGTTATAAGATTTACAAATGTAAATAAAGTTTTGTCAAGTGAAAGAAATTTACACTTCATTTGTGCATTTGTCTCAACAAACCACAGACTGTATCTGTCTCTGTCTTTATGTACAGTTTGATTAAAGGAGGCAGCAAAGTCTCACAAACCTTAAGCTCTGAAAGAAAAGCAACATTTTGTCAATTAATAAATTTGGTTAAAAGAAAGAAAAAAAAAGATTAAATAAAAACCAGAAGAATCTGTTTCGTCAGCATGAAAATCTTGTAGCTGTTCACCTTTGAGGTCAGTCTCCCCCTCAGCGTGATGCTGCCTCCACCATGCTTCACTGTCGGGACGGTGTTGGGCAGGTGATGAGCGGTACCTGGTTTGATCCAGACATGACGCTCAGAACTGAGGTCAAACAGTTCAGTCTTGGTTTCATCAGACCAGAGAATCCTGTTTCTCACAGTCTGAGTCCTTTAGGGAAATGTCCAGCACACAGACAGAGAGGGACAGTACAACCTTTATGGGTTTTGTCCCTTTACGTCCGATGACCATTCTGACTGTGGCTGTTCTTGTTCTAATGGCGTTACTGAGGACAGAGCGCTCGCCAGCTGTGCTTCATCGACCCGAGGCTGGGTGGTCAACGAAGCGTTTTAACCAACAGATGTCGCTGGTGAGCTTCAACCCTGATCTGTGAGACCTGACATAGACAGGTGTAAGGTCTCTCTGAATTAACCACAGGCGAACTCCAATCAAGGTCCACATGGAAGAGTCACCAGAATAAACCTGACCTTTGACCTCATCACTGAAGTGAAGTCTGAAGTCTGGAGAGCAACATCTGGAAAAGCCAGAGGTGTTTTACAAACAAGTTAAAACTGAGATCTTTGGTCACGATCACCAAAGCGACACTATCAGTTTACATTTCCTGCAAGGAATCAATAGTTTAGAATGAAACACACCCCTGTATAACTGGTGGAGCAACAATATTTATCAGAGGAGATCTGACAAAGCTCCACCCCTCACCTGATTCACCTGAGACAAACCAAGAAACAGTTTGTTCTTCTTCACTCAAGAGACACAGACTGAAAAACAGACGATCAGATTCACCTTCAGACCAAACCAACAACTTCCTCTGAGTGAGTCCAGCTACAGGAGAGAGACGTGGGAAACTACAACACTGCTGCTTCAACCTGCTGAAACTCCACACTGAAGGTGAGTTTGACAAAAACCACGACTCAAAGTGAAAGTACATCTCAGTGAAGTTAGTAGAGGACTGACTGTACTTTCTGTCTGCTGTGTTTCAGCTTCACTCACAGACTAAATGGCTTCCAGGTCAGAGGAGGATTTCTGCTGTCCTGTCTGTCATGAGGTCTTTAGAGATCCTGTTGTTCTGTCATGTAGCCACAGCTTCTGTAAAGACTGTCTGCAGAGCTGGTGGAGAGAGAGACCAACACGTGAGTGTCCAGTTTGTAAGAGAAGATCTTCAAGGAAAGAACCACCTGTTAGTCTGACATTAAAGAACCTGTGTGAGGCCTTCAAACAGGAGAGAGATCAGAGATCTTCAGAGTCTCTCTGCAGTCTGCACTCTGAGAGACTCAAACTCTTCTGTCTGGACCATCAGCAGCCAGTTTGTGTCGTCTGCAGAGATTCAGAAAAACACACCAACCACAGATTCAGACCCATCGATGAAGCTGCTCGACAACACAAGAAGGAACTTCAGGAAACTCTGGAGCCCTTAAAGAAGAAGTTAAAGGGTTGTGAACAAGTTAAAGAGGAGTTTGATCAAACAGCAGAACACATTAAGGTCCAGGCCCAACACACAGAGAGGCAGATTAAGGAGCAGTTTAAGAAGCTTCACCAGTTTCTAGAGGAGGAAGAGGAGGCCAGGATCACTGCTCTGAGGGAGGAAGAGGAGCAGAAGAGTCAGATGATGAAGGAGAAGATGGAGGCTCTGAGCAGAGAGATAGCAGCTCTGTCACACACAGTCAGAGCCACAGAGGACGAGCTGAGAGCTGAAGACGTCTCATTCCTGAAGAACTACAAGGTTACAGTGGAAAGAGTCCAGCAGCGCCCCCTGCTGGATGATCCACAGCTGGACTCAGGAGCTCTGATAGACCAGGCCAAACATCTGGGCAACCTGACCTTCAACATCTGGAACAAGATGAAGGACATGGTCTCCTACAGTCCTGTGGTTCTGGATCCAAACACTGCTCATCCAGAATTCATCCTGTCTGAGGATCTGACCAGTGTGAGACGAGGACAGAGACAGAAGCTTCCTGACAATCCAGAGAGGTTTGATAACTACCTCATTGTCCTGAGCTCTGAGGGTTTTAACTCAGGGACTCACAGCTGGGACGTTGATGTTGGAGACAATACATTCTGGTCACTGGGTGTGTTTGCAGAGTCTGTCCAGAGGAAGGGAATCATACTGTCTGGATTCTGGAGAATATGTTTCCATGAAGGTAAATACTCATCATGTTCACCACCAGCTCCATCCACTGATCTGTCAGTGAAGAAGAAGCTCCAGAGGATCAGAGTGAATCTGGACTGGAACAGAGGAAGATTGTCGTTCTCTGATCCTGATACTAACACACACATACACACCTTCACACACACTTTCACTGAGAAGCTGTTTCCATACATTAGAACTGTTGATGAACTGAAGATCTCACCACTGAAGATCTCTGTGACAGTGGAACAGAGCAGTTGGAGATAAAGAGGATGATCATATTTATAATGTTGTTTATGTCTTAAAGGGAAAAGTCAGTGAATTTAAGGTGTGAAGCTGCACCTGTCCTCCTGCTGCCTCATTACTCCAAAGCTCTGTTTATGTTTCTTTTAGCTCTCACTGTTTCTTATTTTCTTTTTATTGTTGTTTTATTTTAACAAGTTGCTTTTTATATCTATTCACAACCTTTTAATCTGTAAATTTATTTCACAGTCATTTTTTCCACTTCACAAAACCTGATCTTTATTTACATTGCTATATTCTCACTCTATTAGAATTGAACTGAATTAATTAATTATCTTTTTGTGTTAACATGGTCCAATCAGATGGGATCACATGACACAGACTAATACAACATATAAATAACAACAAACCACAGGTTGTAGCTTTAGAGCAGTTGTTTCTAAAGTGAAGACAAAATGAAATCATGTTTTACACAGAAAAACAATTTAAAAGTTACTGGATTAAACCAAGTTTTAGTTTATTCCAGATCTCAATCACCCATTTTGTCTTTAAATGAGGAAAAACTGAATCTTTAATCAAACCAGAATTGAATGGTTTCCAGTATGAAATGACTCCCAGCAGCTGGGTGACCAGTGGGAATAATAAAGGGCTCCTGGGCCTGTTCAGTAATCCACCCAAACTGAACCATGTTACTGATTTTAATTGAACTGACTTAAATGATAAACTGCAGAATTTAGAGTGAAAATAGTGCAACCATTACCTGTGTGTTATAAGATTTACAAATGTAAATAAAGTTTTGTCAAGTGAAAGAAATTTACACTTCATTTGTGCATTTGTCTCAACAAACCACAGACTGTATCTGTCTCTGTCTTTATGTACAGTTTGATTAAAGGAGGCAGCAAAGTCTCACAAACCTTAAGCTCTGAAAGAAAAGCAACATTTTGTCAATTAATAAATTTGGTTAAAAGAAAGAAAAAAAAAGATTAAATAAAAACCAGAAGAATCTGTTTCGTCAGCATGAAAATCTTGTAGCTGTTCACCTTTGAGGTCAGTCTCCCCCTCAGCGTGATGCTGCCTCCACCATGCTTCACTGTCGGGACGGTGTTGGGCAGGTGATGAGCGGTACCTGGTTTGATCCAGACATGACGCTCAGAACTGAGGTCAAACAGTTCAGTCTTGGTTTCATCAGACCAGAGAATCCTGTTTCTCACAGTCTGAGTCCTTTAGGGAAATGTCCAGCACACAGACAGAGAGGGACAGTACAACCTTTATGGCTTTTTCCCTTTACGTCTGATGACCATTCTGACTGTGGCTGTTCTTGTTCTAATGGCGTTACTGAGGACAGAGCGCTCGCCAGCTGTGCTTCATCGACCCGAGGCTGGGTGGTCAACGAAGCGTTTTAACCAACAGATGTCGCTGGTGAGCTTCAACCCTGATCTGTGAGACCTGACATAGACAGGTGTAAGGTCTCTCTGAATTAACCACAGGCGAACTCCAATCAAGGTCCACATGGAAGAGTCACCAGAATAAACCTGACCTTTGACCTCATCACTGAAGTGAAGTCTGAAGTCTGGAGAGCAACATCTGGAAAAGCCAGAGGTGTTTTACAAACAAGTTAAAACTGAGATCTTTGGTCACGATCACCAAAGCGACACTATCAGTTTACATTTCCTGCAAGGAATCAATAGTTTAGAATGAAACACACCCCTGTATAACTGGTGGAGCAACAATATT